GGCAGTTGCGGCACCTCCGGCAACGACTGAAGCGGGAGAACGACACCGCGAAGAAACTCCAACGTTGGTGGCAAAGCTACCGAAGCTGGAGATGCTGAAATTCGACGGACGTATCAAAGAGTGGCAGTCCTTCTGGGGTATGTTCGTCAACACCGTCCACGAAAATGCGCAACTGCGGAACATCGACAAGTTTCAATACCTGAGATCACTTCTCACCGGAACAGCTGCCAAGGCTATCGCTGGCATTCAAGTATCGGACTCCTGCTACTCCGACGCAGTGGAAATACTAAAGGGACGATTTGGCGACACCAAGCTTATAATACAAGATCACCTAGCTAAGCTTCGGACTCTGCAAAATGTCAAATCATCCAGCAACATATTCGCCCTGCGCAATTTATTTGACACGGTTCAGATCCACATCAGAGGACTGAAAGCTTTAGGAGTCGACGCCATTTCGTACTCGGCTATGTTGTATGAGATTTTGTTGAAGGTTTTACCAAGCGACATCATTATAGAGTATTACCGGCGGCAAGGCTTCGGTGGCCCAAGCACATCGGCAACAACATCGGCAAGCGGCGACTTAGACGGAATTTTGGGACATTTGAAGGTCGAAGTAGAGATTCGAGAGAGGAAGCATGGTTCAGACCGAGCTACAAAAGACAGTGGTCGGTCTCCTGAACCCACTGTAACACAATACTCGATGCCATCAGCAGCAGTACTTCACAATCGTACGAAGCCGTCGCCTACAGATTGCTTTTTCTGCGGCTCGCAGACGCACAAGACGGAAGAGTGTGACACAGAAAGGTCTTTAGAAGAAAAGAAAAACAAACTCACACAAGACTGGCGCTGTTACAAGTGTACAATGAGAGCTCATCAAGCACAGAACTGCAAACGGCGTATATCGTGTGGCACGTGCAAAGGGAGGCACGCGACAACCACGTGCGAACCCCGCAGAAGGAGTGCGAGGGACAACGCCCAAGAGGAAGATTCCAGGGCATTAAATGCCTTCACTGCTGACAGCATCAGAGGAAAGGAGAAGCCGCAAGTCTTGGTGCAGACATTCAGGTCATGGGTCGCCGGTAACGGAGCCTACATCTATGCGAGGGGAATTCTAGACGATGGGAGTCAACGGACATTCGTCCGAGAAGACGTTTCTCGTTGATGCAAAATGCGGGTGCTCGGTGAAGCAAACCTCAACATTAACATCTTTGGATCAACCCAGCCGCGAAAGCAACAAAGAAATATCGTTGAAGTGAAATTGAAAAGTCAATACCATCAGACAGAGTACGTCCTAGAAGCGGTGGAGGTACCACATATTTGCAACGACATCGAGAAGCTCCCAGTAGACCTTGGATTTATACAGTCTCTGCAAAAACAAGGCAAAAGCCTCGCAGATTCGTGTCTATTTGCAGGAACCAACTCGGCTGAAGGTATCAGCTTGCTGATTGGAGCCGACCAGCTTTGGAAAATTGTCAAGAGAGAAGTCACCCGAAATACAGACCAATCAATAATGGCTGTCAATACGCGCCTTGGATGGACTGTGCAAGGACCGACGGAAGCATCGTGTTCCTTGACTAACCAGTCAAACGTGGTTGCGTGCGCACTTCGTATCAACGCACTTCAAAAAAAAGAAGAGAGAAGCTTACAAGCATTTTGGGACCTGGAGCACAATGGGATTTCAGGCACTATGGTCAAGTCAGCGTATGAAGACCAGGTACTCGAACGATTTCAGAAATCAGTTCGTGTCAGCGAAGGGCGGTATGAAGTATCCCTTCCGTGGAAAACCGACTTGACGAAGCAGCTCGACAACAACAGAGACCTGGCAGAAGCTAGGCTGCGTGGACTAGTCCGCAAGCTGCAGAGGGACAAGGTCCTTCTAGAGAACTACGACCAGCGCTATTCGTCAGTACCTGCAAGACGGTCACACAGAAGCTGTTCCTCACGCAGAAGCAAATAACGTCATGAATGAGCTCGAACATCTCTACTATATGCCTCATCATGCAGTACTGAGAGAACAGTCTGTCACAACAAAAGCGAGAATAGTTTTTGATGCGTCCTCGCACAAACAGGGACAAGACAGTCTCAACTCTCATTTGGAAACGGGCCCTAAGTTGTCAGACGAGCTGCTGCAGATCCTACTGCGATTCAGAACTAGGAAGGTTGCAATGACAGCAGACATTCAAAAAGCGTTTCTACAGGTTTCAATCAGGACGGAGGATCGGGATGCTTTTCGTTTTCTTTGGTTCGCGAGCGCACCCGAGACGGTTGGGACTCTACAGCCATTACAAGAATGGAGAATGACGCGCGTGCCTTTTGGAACTACTTCTAGCCCCTTTTTACTCACAGCTACGCTGCAGCACCACTTTCAGAATATTGACAGACACAGAGAGACTGCCGACATGTTGGCGAAGTCATTCTATGTGGATGACCTTCTCACTGGGGCCGCAAATGAGAATGACGCCTTTAACATATACACCGAAACTCAAGAAATTATGCAAGCGGCTGGAATGACAATGAAGAAGTGGACATCAAACTACAAGGATTTACAAAGGCGTTTCACTGAAGGTAGCGACGAAATTCCTGATGGACCTGCAGAAAGAACTCCAGAAAGAAAGATCCTAGGTGTGGTATGGAGCACGTTCGAAGACACCTTTAGGGTGTCATTGGAAACCGTCCCAAGTTTACTGGAGTCACGAGTCAAAACTAAGAGGTTCATTCTCCAAGCATCGGCACAAATATTCGATATCATGGGTCTAATCGCACCTTTCACGATTCGGGCGAAAATGATCTTTCAGAAGCTGTGGGAACAAGACATTTTATGGGACGCTGAGGTTCCTGTAGAGATCAGCAATGAATGGAGCACGTGGTGCAACGAACTTCATCAGCTTCAAACACTCGCCATAACCCGATCCCTATTCCACGAATTACAAGGATTGGAGCGGTCTACCGAACTGCATGTGTTCACGGATGCCAGTCCTCAAGCATACGGCGCTGCAGTCTACATTCGATCATCTGACAATGATGGCAACGTCAATACTCGTCTATTACTAGCAAAGGCTCGGGTTGCCCCACTCAAACGACAAACGCTCCCACGGTTAGAGCTGATAGGAGCGCTCATTGGAGCACGGCTTTTGAGGTACGTTCAGAAGACGTTTGACACAGAGGACTTTACCTGCTACATGTGGACAAATCCCATGATTACTCTGAAGTGGATTCAAGGGCAACCGCAACGCTGGGAAACGTTTGTCGCAAATAGAGTTGAAGAGATTCAACGGCTGACAGTAAATTCCCACTTCAGGTATTGCCCAGGAAAGGATAACCCGGCCGATTTTCTCACTAGGGGAATTTCAGTCGAAAGACTGATGGCTGCCCAAACTTGGTGGGAAGGTCCAGTGTGGCTCCAGAGACCCATTTATGAATGGCCCGACCACTGCAATGAAGAAGCTCTGGTGCAGAAGAGAAATTGCATACCTGCTGCTGTACTACCAGCGAGAACTAGCTCTTTCGAGCCGTAAATCGATCTCCATCGTTACAGCAGACTGCAGAAGGTAATCCGAGTTACTGCCTGGATACTTCGTTTTATGAACAACTGTTCGAGTGAAAAGCTGTCGGCAAATCACCTCTCAGCGGAGGAAGTAACCCGAGCAGAACTGCACTGGATCACACATGTTCAAAACTCGGTATTCTCTGAAGAGATAGCCTCACTGACAGACAAACGGCAAGTAAGTAAAAGCTCAAAGATTGCCGAGCTTAACCCCTTTCTTGATGACAAAGGAGGGTTGCGAGTAGGCGGAAGGCTCCAAGAATTGCGTTCCACAGAAGAAGTAAAACATCCTCTCATTCTACCAGCCAACCATTGCCTAACGGAGTTGATAATTTCAAATGCACACATCCGAGTTCTACACGGAGGAGTCGCTGAGACATTAACGCAATTGCGTGAAAGATTTTGGATTATTCGAGGCAGATAATTGGTAAAGAAATGTATAAAGAACTGCCCTACATGCTCTAGATATCGGCTCAAGCCACTGTCAGCACCTACAGCGCCTCTACCAGCTGATCCCATTGAGCCAACAAACCCTTTTGAAATAGTGGGAGTCGACTTTGTAGGCCCCCTTTATGCCAAGAACATGACCCCGAACGAAGTTTTCATAGCTCTCTTTACGTGCGCAGTGACAAGAGCGGTCCACCTTGAAGTCATATCAAGCATGTCTTCTCAGACCTTCTTATTAACACTACGTCGGTTTGTGGCACGAAGAGGTCTGCCAAAGGTCATCTACTCGGACAACGCTCTCACCTTCAAAAGGTTGTTTAAAGACATCAAGGAAGTATGGACAGCCTTACGCCACCAGGACGTTCAAGACTATGTTGCCCACAACCAGATATCCTGGAAATTTAGCGCTGAACGGGCAGCCTGGTGGGGAGGATTTTGGGAGAGGATGGTTCGTAGTGTGAAGTCCTGCCTTCGAAAGATTCTTGGACGAAGTTCACTAAACTTCGAAGAGCTCACTACTGTGGTACAAGAAGTCGAGGCTGCGGTGAACTCACGACCGTTGACGTTTATGCATTCAGAGCACGACGAGCCAAGAGCCTTAACTCCTGCCCATTTCCTGATCGGCAAGCGATCAACAGCATTGCCGTCATCCAAAGACTCCAAGGCGCTACAACGAAGAGCAGATGAACTCTCAAAACGCTGGAACTACCGACAACTACTAGTTGCACAGTTTTGGAAAAGATGGATGTCCGACTACCTTCTGCTGCTTCATTCGACACATCATGCGAAGCCACAGGAAGATAATGATCTAAAGGTCGGAGACATCGTAATTATACACGAGCCAATGCGTCCTAAAACGATGTGGAAACTAGGACGGATAATAGAATTGCATCCAGGTCGGGATTCCCACGTTCGATCATGCGACTTAAAGTTGGCAAGTGGACAAATACTACAACGGCCAGTACAACTTCTTTATTCTCTCGAGGTGCCTCGTTGTCCCCCTCAGACGGCAGCCGGTTGAATATTTTCAACAGCGATCGGTGAAGAAGAGAAGACGACGACGATGACGAGAGGACTCTGAGGGGAAGCATCCAATTTTATACGCCACGGTGCGAGCTTGAAACGGGCATCGTCCCATTAAACCCATTATCCATGCTGTAACCAGTAACATCGTCCAGTTATTTTACACAGTATGCCCTGTTCAGTTCCAATGATAGGAAATAAACCAGGTGCTTCTCACGGGACATGATGCTGGCCTCTCCTGATTCTTGGGGCGGCTGCCTGAGCTTTTCAGCGCGAGGCATACGATTTACTCCTTTTCTCTTTAGTGAGGGTCCATCTCCAGCACCATCAGTACTTTCCTTTCCTTCATGACCTGCAGCAGCCTTGGGGATCTGTGCAGCTGTCTTGGATATCTGTACCTTAGTCTTGGCAATCTGTGCAGGAGTCATGGCAATCTGTGCAGGAGTCTTGGGAGCCTGTGCAGGAGTCTTGGGAGCCTGTGCAGGGGTTTTGGGAGCCTGTGCAGGGGTTTTGGGAGCCTGTGCAGGGGTCTTGGGAGCCTGTGCAGGGGTCTTGGGAGCCTGTGCAGGGGTCTTGGGAGCCTGTGCAGGAGTTGTTGGGATCTTGTAGGACTCCAAAAACAACGAGCTTCGGTTGTCGCACTTCTTCGTTTCGCTCAAGAAAAAGCTTAGAAGTGGTTCCCACTGGTCAAGCAGCCTCTTCAGGCACTTTCCCAAAGACAGCCAGCATGTTGGCACATACTTCAAGACCTTTCTCACCTCGATGTCCTGTACCCTTTGAAAATCTTTCAGTCGATCCTTACGTTTCGCTCTTCTCTAGGTAGAAGAAAACGTCTACCAAAATCTCACCAACTTTCACAGGAAAACATGCAGCACCTTTCTGGGCGGCTAAGTTGATCAGATGGCACGGACAACCAACTACAATCAAATTTGGCTGAGCCTCTTTCAAAACTGCGGCGACACCGTATTTCTTGCCGATCATGACATTTGCATTGTCAGCAGACATAGCCAAGCAATTTGCTATCGATAAATCCCGGGACCTCAGCACGTCCAGGATCAAATTACCAATCTTACGACCAGATGCTGCCTCGCCAAGAGCGCTTTTCTGCGGGGTACAGAGGCTACGAGTACGAGTGCGTAGCCAAATTCAATCACGGAGCCTCCGTCAGTCGTCCCGTGGAAAAGGCACCTTTTATCAATGCTATCGCGGAATGAAATTCATGACCTACTGATGTCCAGTGCATAGCGAGAACTTCGGCGATTTCTTTTAGAGTCGTTCGTCCGTCGGCGATGAACTGTGCAAATAGGCTTAGCGTTGAGCAGATCGCAGCGTTGACGCACATTCAAAGCGGCGAACATTTTCACTGTGCACTCCTTCAGCTGCACGGCGATCTGATTCGACCACGGTAGGTCCCAGAAGGAATTGCCGAGCTGAACACCACGCAATTTCACGTAACACAGAACTTCAAAAACACCACGTCGCCCCCTTGCTTCGCCAGTCAAGGTAACCGCCATCTTGAAACTGGCGCTCTCGTTGGGTCCGAGATCTCTCGAGAGCATCCCGCAAAGCCCGCTAGCCCGCAACGCAAAATCGCCAGCGTTGCGTGCGTACGCAATATGCTAGCCCTTCTATTGCGTTCTGCACATGCGCACTCACGACCCACGATTTCCTTGCGTACACAAAGCTATAGCGTACGGTCCACTAAAACTGTCTAATGTCAGCCTTGCCACCGTGCGAAACGCTCACATCACATCACGTGTGACAAAATCCCAACTTGTCTCCCTTCTTGGATGGCACAAAACACCGGAATTCCTGCATGTAGGATTTCAGGAAGACCTGAAAGTACCTCTTTTGAGGTTTGGAGTTTGCCATTGCACCGCGAAGCTACCGCCACTAGGGCACAGACACCGCTCTGCACGCCACGAAAACTGGCCGAAACAGCGAGGCCTAACACGCCAAACCAACCAAGAAACCAACGTGCGCCGCTGAACACATGAACAAAAGCTTTGGGTTTTGGATTGGTTTTGGATCCATGGCCACCGGATAGACGGATACTAAAATCCACGACGCTGCCGTCAACGATACCTATCGCCCTCTTGTCGCACCAGCAACAACTTTACAAAAAAAGAAGAAAAGTTCTATTTTTTGTTTTTCGTAAAATTTGAAGCAAGATTCCTCAAATCGTAAAATTAGTCCCAATTCATACTTTTTACGAAAAATTCGAAGAGTTTGGCAGGTATGGAAAACTCGCATACTGGACCAGCTTCGAAGCATCGCATACTCAAGGTTGGAGCATTTCGGTGCAGTTGCCTATTAGTGACGCTGGCATGCATTCATATAATCAGCTGCGCAATTCCCATTAAAAACCCAAAGCTAGCAGCTATACTGTACTAGTAGAATTGCTCTTCGACTGCTGCGAAATTATGCCACAAACTTGGTCAAATTTGTGTTTTGTTTCCATTAATGCTAATGAACAAAGGTTAGCAGGATTTATGTAAGCGTGCTGACTATCACTCTTGAGAAGTCGATGTAGAGTACCAATTTAACCCTCTAGATCAGGTTTCTCCAAGTGCTTCGGCTAAAGGCCTGTCCAAACAGGATACTACAAAACTCACGACTCCGGCAAATCGTGCCGCGCTCCGCTTCCGGCCGTCGGAGGGAAATTTCCCTCCGTCAAAGCTCCCGGGGGGAAACTTCCCTTCGTCAAATCTCCCCCTCGCTTCCTCCACGGCGGCCTTGCTCTGCTCATCACATGGGTCCAGAGAGCCACTCACACGCTCTGTTGGCTGTCGGTCAGTCGCCCAAGGCCTCCGCTCACAATACGGAACTGCGTCGGACGCCATCACGACGAAAGTGAATCTCGACAAAGAAAGCAGATCCGAGGCGGGCGAAACGCACCCTTCGACGCAGGAATGTCCCAAATCCACCCAAAGCCGGACCCCCTTAACCTTTGAGCCGAGGCGACGGCGGTACGCGAGGTCGTTGGCGAGGTGAGCATGACGCAGGTGGCGGGTGATGTCTGAGAAAAGTGGAGGAGGCAAGGGAGAGCAGTCGTGATCGTGAAAATTTTCACGACTCCTGCAAAGATTTTCACGACTCCGACAAATCGTAAAACTAAAAGCGTCCGCTTCGATTTTCACGATTTGTCGGAGTCGTGCGTTTTGTAGTGTCCTGTTTGGACACCCCTTAAGGGGCCACACTGGGATCCTGTTGCAGTGTGGAGGGCCGGTAAAGAAAGAAGACAATATAAATAAAGAAATACTAATAAAATAAGCCTAAATAAGAATTTAAATACAGAAACCTAAACAGAGCAAAAATTGAAGAAACAATGTAAGGTGGATGAATACATTGACTTTATTTATAAATGCAATATGCAACATATTGCCGCATGCGCAGCTAGCGAAGTAGGCAGTGCGCTTGGCTCCCCAAAGATGGCCGGGGTTCAATACCCACCATCGCTTGTCGTTTTTTTTTTTTTCTTTCTTTATGCGAGTAGACAAATCTAGAACATTGTAGAGCTGTGTAGCTTGTTCATGCTCAGAACGTATACTTCAAGAACAAGGTAGAATGTTTTAGGCTCCCAGGGAAGGCTCAAAAGAAGCTGCACCGTAAGGAGTCAGTCTCGCCACAGCGCTCAATCCTGCCGCTACGCCGCCTGCGATGCTGGCCTCCTCCTATTTTGTTTTGGGCACAAGTCCACCCCATTAAACCTTTAGTTCCCATCAGTCATTCGTCTCCTCATCAATTGTGATTCGTGACAAGAGAGATTTTTAAAATAACGTACACAATTTCAGCATACGCTAGCACTAAATTTAGCGCTTGCATTACCGCATGCTATGCGAGAGAGTTATAGAATTCGCCTCGAGATCAAACCGTGTCGCCACCGTGCGGCCGAAATTGGAAACGCGCAATAGCAGGGATACCGCCGTGCGTCGTCTGCTACGGGCGCACGCTCAAAAGCATGGATGTTGACGACGCAAGCCCCGTTTCAGGCTGAGCTTGACATTCCTTATTAAATGCTTTTATGTTTTTGTTGCCATTCCTTCTTACTAAAGATTGTGTCATATCGTTTCCCATGCGTAGAAATTCAGCAAAGCGATTATTATTAAGTCGGAAGCTTCCATAATCTTAGTGTGTTGGTTTGTATACATTCGCTGGTCCCACGTAATTTTGTTATCTCGCGCAAACCGTGGCTTTCATAAAGCATTGAATGTTGAGTGGGTTTGTGGTTTGATTAGAAAATTAACCCGACTGATCGCTATCCTTTCATAGACTAATCAATCAATAAATCCGTATGCCGATTTTTCGCCGGTCTTTATGCGTGAAAGACGTTAAAACTACACATTTTTTTACTGGTTTTACTATGTCATTAATGGCATATTGCATTCCCATTCTAAATATGAACACTGGAAGCCTTTTAAAATTAAGTATTTTTTAAGTTATTATTTAAACAGTATAATCACCCTCAGCGAAATGATAAGCACGCTGAAGTGGTTTATCGTGCAAGCCTGAGTCACCAAAGAAATAAAGACGCCAAAAATATTAAAGCAGGCATTTTTTACTCCTTGTTGACTTTTTCCAGCTCAAGACTCCAATTAACCGGCAAAAGAAATTGCAATATAAGCATTACTTGAATAATCTGAACGTTAATCGATGAACTGCCCAGTCCCGATATACGTTAGGTGAGGGCGGAGGGTGATCGGAAAGTCTCGTGAAGGGCCCTAATCAGTAAAAAAGTATCACTGCGGCCGATGCTGTTTGTGTCGTGGTGTGCGTCGTTTGTTGGGGTTGCACAGTCTACTGTGTTTAAATACAAGAATATTTAGCCAGAAATTTATAGTATTAGCCTCTTGACATCTGCGGCCCTCACCAAGAAAATTGAAGCAGGTGAATCGATGCTACCGAGAAAAGCATTTAATAACAGGAACATTGCTGCGTTAATCGGTTACACTCGTTTATTACAGTCACGGCACATATATTAGAACAGTTTGTTTCACTTGTTGCAGTTCTCCTGACAACCGTGAAATTTGCAGATCTTAACTAGAAGAGACACACTCTCCTCATCGCAACGTAGTAGATTTGTTCAGACTCCAAAAAACTTACCCACACTACGGCACAGTAAAAGGGCAGAGGAACTTAATAGCATGGCAATTTTTATTACAGCGCTAACTTATCTTCATTCTAAATATATATATATATTACTGCGAAAGCTAGCAGTTAAAAAAAGAAAAGCATAGAAGCTGCGATTTCGCAGCCCACAGTACCAGTTTTATGTTATCTGGGTGGGAATTTATTGTTTTTTTTTAATTCCCACGTTGATGAACCGATACATCCATTTCAAAAGAAACAAATATTTAACATAAATATTCCAGTTCAGCCGGAGACAGGCATCAGTCGTGGTGATCCATGCTTTCCGACGTCTGCCTAGAGCAGACGACGCACCCACAGAAGCGATTATATAAATTTAGGCCGCACGCTGGCAACACGATTCGATCATCACTGAAGCACCGAACAGTGCCGCATCCTTTTTCGCTAGAATTGTTTTCCCACCGATAGTATGCGACAAAATCAACGCAAGAAT